AGCGGGCAGCCCCGCGTCCGCCCGCGCGCTGAGGTGCGGGAAGAAGGCTCAGCCCCCCGTGCCGACGCTCCCCTCGCTCGGCACCATCGGGGCCGTGTTTTCCTCCGGTGGCAGGTCTTTCCTCTCAGAGGAGATGCCCTTTCAGGTCCTCTGCCCAGTGTCTTTGGATGAAGGAAGGGGCTTACGTGAAGATGCGAGATAAGGACGCGGGAACGCGGTCTGTGAGCAAAACGTGATTGAAATGACCGGTTCGGCCACGGCCTGTCGGCTGAGCTGCCCCAGCTGCCTTGTAAGCACCATTTCTCCAGTCTGACTGTGAGGAGAAGCGAGAACCCAAACCTCCGGGACGTTTTTCAAAGAAGACCTCCTGTGGCTTAGTGCAACGTTTCTATCGCACACCTTTCTTTCCACGTAACTTCCACGGAAAAGTTGTATCATTAACCAGAAAATGGAGAATTTCTTCCCTTCTGACAGAAAAGTCAATTACTTCAAAACTTACTTCAAAACGCTGTAGCACACAAAACCAGGGCTGAGTGGTTCTGCTAAACCCCTTTTTCTTCCTCTAATTCACTACTTAAACAGACTCATTCAATCCCTGAAAAGTCACGCAGAAAAGAGAAAATCCGCGGGATGATTTACTCAGTGCATTTCTACCTGAACTTTTCCAGGTGCCTTGTGTTATGCAGAGCTTGGAACAAGAATCACCAAGTCTGGAGGACATTATATCTACATCTTGGAGACACTAGGGCCTCTGCCAAGTTTCTTATTCCTGTGGGCAGAGTTTTTTGCTATCAGGTAAGAGATTTTGTTTGTTTGCCTTTTGCCGGATGCTGTGACGATTTAAGAATCCAAAAGTTACGGTGCCAGGTAACAGTCTAGGCAGTTTGTGAAGGAAAGAGTAGAAACAACCTGAACAACTTTTAAAGATTTTTCAATGATAAAAGGAAGAAGGCATAATGAGTAAATAGTTACATGTGCTCAATGTGATTTGTACTTGAAGAATATCTCTCTCGTTCCCTGGCAGCTGGTATCCTGCAAGAGCCATGGTATTTTTCAGAGACTGACAATAGATGCCAGATTTATTTCATATCTTCTGTTTGCATTGTGAAACTTTTTCAGATTCTCTTGTGGAGACAACTTTCTGGCTTAGCCCTGAGTTAAATAATATTTTAGAAGATTGTAAATGACTTCGTTTTTAACTTTAAAAGGAAAGCCCTCACCTCTCAATAACTTGTCTCCTTCGTCTAAGCTGAAGGAGGACATATGAACCACACTGCGTTGCTCAGTATGATTAATCTCAACTTTTGCTTTCCAGCTGGGAATTAATCTTTTTGTAGCATGCGATTTTTAACCCATTTGCTGAGAAAAACCTATGAAAAAGACTCTACGGGAATTCACCAGCTGCGCGGGAGAGCAAGACGAAGCTGGATGGGGAAACTTCCCCCGCTCCCCCAAGTTTTGTGCAGTTTTACATCATGCCATTTTTTGGCTGTCTGCAGACCACAGTGTGCTTGGTTCCCCTCCAGGCCTGCCAACAGCGCTGTGGTTTCTTTGGCATTTGGACGCTACATGCTGGAGCCATTTTTTGCGCCCTGTGCAGCACCGGTCCCTGCTGTGAAGCTCGTGTCTCTCCTGGGGTACTGTAAGTACCAGCCGTGACGGGACTGCCGGTCTGGGGGTGTTGTCTTCTGGGATAACTGTGGGGTAGCGGCCCTGTCTTTCCTCCTGGGCCACCCAAAATTTCCTGATCCAAGATGCTGGTTTGGGGCCGTCACATTCTCCGAGCGGGGGAAGTGGCCTCCCTGCTGACCAGCCGGAGCCCTAGGTCGGGGGGATTGTGCCAAGCACGGGAGTGGAAACTCTTCACGTGTAATTGTGCAAATGCCGCCTGGGTTGAAGGTGCAAGGCTCGACGTTTTGGACTCCCCTCCTGGTGCACCCAGCCCGTGAAGCTGTCCCGCCCGCTGCGGGCTGGTGTGCGCTGGCACGGGGCCTGCTGTGAAGGGGGCTGCTGAGACCTCCCTGCAGACTCACGCCTTCCCCCCAGGACAGGAACCAGGCTCCTGGTCCCTCTTAGGAGCGTAACTCGGCTCCCCCTTCAAACGCTCCACGCTGGGCCGCAGCTGTAACGTGTTTTCCGACATCTCTCACCCGGAGCGTCCTCTCCGTAAAGATGCAGCCTGGGCTGCGTGGGCTACAGCTGTAGCTGTGTCGTCTCCTCCCCAGACACGGTCCTCACCCTCAACTCCTGGAGCGTCACCTGGAGCGCCCGGCTGCAGACGGCTCTCTCCGTCGTCAAACTCCTGGCTCTTGCCCTCATCATCGTGCCAGGGATGATGCTGCTGGCCCAGGGTAGGTGTGCCGCCGCGTGGCGGAGGGAGGGTGCTCGACAGGCCCCCCCATCACGGCTTCTCTCAGTCCCGGGTGACAAGCGTGGTCACCCCTTTAGCTTCCTCTGGGTGTGAATTAGGAGACCAGGGTAGCTGGCACTGAGCTGCACCCTTGCACTGGGCTGGCGCGCCTGGCCCAGCTGCGCTTTCTCCAAAAGCGAGTGAGCCTCAGCGCCTGAGGCTGTGTGAGCCTCCCCGGGGTCATGCCGGCACCTTCCTCCGCAGACGGTCTTTCTTTGGTGTCAGACTTGCCTGTTTTCAGCGTGGCTCGGAATCCTTCCCAAAGCAACATAAATCTGATGGACATCAGGGATGTGTGACAGCATCCCGTGGTGACCCAAGCCAGTCACAGCTGTGTAATGAGTTACCAGCCCTCAGCTGAGCCCTGGTAACTGCATCTCTAACCTTTCTGTGGCTTAAGCTAATGTTTTTTACCTCCTAATTGAGATGGGCAGTAACTTGGTAAACTTACAACGGGCTTGCGCAGGATGGCACACGCATCCAGAGTGGGGAAAAAACCCCCACCAGTAGTATCTTCTGGGAACGATCTGAGAGTATTGGCTTTAAACCAAGCCCCCGTTTATAGAAAAGCCCAAGGCATTCCCACTCGAGGGATGAAGCCTGCTCCCTCCAGGCTATTACCTTCCTCTGCAGGGAAAGCAACACGGGCAGCGGGCTCCACGTTCGCTCTTCGCGGTGTCTGGAGCCGGCTCCTTTGAACACGCGAAGGTCCCTCGGGCTGGCAGCACTTCTGAACTGAAGGACTGCGGCTAGAAAGGCCCTACAGCTAGAAATCCGGAGCCATCGTTGTTAGGAATGCCTTCAAATGACAGTCTGGAGCCCGGGCACCCATCCTCCCGAGGGGAGGGTAAGTGCCGGTGACGTGTGGAGGGGGAATTCACCAGGAGACCCCGCATGACATGTTGTATTTAATGAGGCTCACGGGGGACTGTAAATCACTTGTTAATGTATTGCAGACAATAAATCCTTTTTACGCACCATCACTTATCAGCAACCATTTTAGAACATAAAGAGACTACTCTGATAGGCCCACTCACATCTTTTGCTTTAGTTTTCTTTGTAACTATTTTCTTTTTTGCTTGTTTTTCTGTGCTTAAAAATCAGTTTCGTGCTTTTAAATCAGTTTGCCTGATTCCCCTGCCTTATTCTACTTATTTTGGTTACACTCTTGTCCTTTCCTCTGCCATTACCTTCCCTTTGGCTCAGGTTTGTTTTAGAGACTTATGGGGCCAGTATTTCAAACCCAAATGCGCAAAACTTGTCACAGAGCTCCTTGCAGAGGCACCTCCATGGAAGTGGCCTGACCTTCTCCCTGTGCTCCATGCCATTTCATTCCCGTCCTGGTGCAGCCCAGCTGGGCGAGCTCCACACTTTTTACTTTTAAAGAGGCTTTGATATGGAGAACGGAATATAGATGTAGAACCAAACCTTGGGCCACCCGGATTTGAAAATGCTGGAAATACAACTCCGTTTGACTATGGTTTTTATTGGTCATCTTTGAATGAGAGGCCATTAGGTGTTTCTCCCTTCCCCAGGTTTTTTTGGAGTTTGATAAAATACGGTTCATAACCAATCGACTTTTTTTTGTTTGGTTGGTTTTTGTCTTTTGTTGTTATTTCAAGCAGAGAACTTTTAGGAAGATTGGGAGAGTTGGTAAAAAGGGATCTCTATCTGAGCCACCTCTACGGTTTAAATTTTATTTGCTTTGCCCTCTGTGTCTTCAGTTCCTCCTCCCGCGGGCGAGCGGCGGTGGCTGGCAGGGGCGGTGGGCAGGGACCGTGCCTGGAAGGGGGTCCAGGCTGGCGGTCCCCGCTCCCGCTCCCTCCTCCGCCCTGGTTCCCATGCTCCGGCCAGCATGGGGCTGGGTCAGCGCTCCGGCAGCGGGATCAGGAGGGAGCACAGCGAGAGCCGAGTTAGCCGCCTCGCTGGCTGCACCACATCAAAGCGGAGTGTGCATCCAGCTGCTTGGGGGGCTGGGGGCGGGAAAGGGGGGTCAACACAGTGAATTAATTTTCGGCCTAAAGAAAGGACAACTTGGGTCCTCTCGTCTCCGTGATCTCCCGTTCCCACAGCAGGCTCTGTCTGAAAGAGAACCAGACGCTGGCGTTGCCCTTCCTGAAATGTCTCCTGTAGCTAGATGGGGGACAGATTTGTTCTGTCACTGTTTGTGAAGTAAACGCGTCAGCACAGCACTGCAAATTAAAACAATGAGACAAATCTGAATACCTGGCTCCAAGGAAGCCACAAACACTCTTCCCAGGTCTGGGCAAGAGGTGCAAGGGGTGTTGTCCCGCGGGAAGAAAGGCCATCTCTGACGTTTCCCTACTCCACGTCTGTTGTTTGTCTTCTGCAGGCCACACCGAAAACTTCCAGGACGCTTTTGACAGACAGTCGCTGGTTTTGGATAAGCTGCCCCTGGCTTTTTATGCAGGCATGTTCGCATATTCAGGCTGGTAGGTGTGACAGGAGGGTGCTCCACGGGCAGCAGACGGGTGTCCGAAACATGCCTCAAACTCTCTCCCCATCTCTTCCCACCATGCAGGTTTCAGACCAGCTTTGTGCGTGAAGAGTTGGTCAGACCTGAACGGTAAGGCTGGAAAGAAGTTTTCTGGGGTTACCAGCCTCTGGGGTACCACGGCTTTCCCAAACGCAGTATGGGAGGAAATACCTTTGTGGGTTCATCTGACCGACATCAGCTGCAATCTGCAGTAGTACCGTGCGTAACAAGGGATAACAGGTCGTTCTTTCTGTGTGTCTCTTCCCCTATCTTGTAGAAATATCCCCCTGGCTGTCATTGTGTCCATGATCACGGTAATTGTGGGGTACATGCTCACCAACGTCTCCTACTACACAGTCCTGGGAACGCAAGACGTTCTGGCTTCTCCTGCTGTAGCTGTGGTGAGTTGCCACCCTACTGTTGTCTTTCTTCGGTGTGGTCAGCTTATGCTGAAGGGGTGGTCATGGCAAGTGTTTTGGAGATGGTTTTCCAATCAAATGCTTTATTGCTTTGTAATTTCTCTGGATTATTGGCCAACAGTAACTTCTTCTAGTCTTGCCTAAAAGATAATGAAAAATAACCTGCAGATGACAGTAGAAAAGGCAAGATTTATGAGTAATATTTTACTCCTTCAATGGAGGAAGTTTTCTTTCTTTTGAACCTGATGTTGTCTGGAGATCACCACATGTTCCTAAAGTCACACTTGCTTTTCCTCCAGAGCTTTGTGCAGCGAGCCTTCAAAAGCCTGATCTCTGTGGTCCCTGTCCTTGTCGCACTGTCCTGCTTTGGAACCATGAATGGAGGGATCTTCACGTTTTCAAGGTTACGTTCCTAAGAATTTATTACTCTCTTGGCTTACTGAATCGGAAGGAAGCACCAGCAACCTGTGCAACTGCCCACCCATGGGATGGCATTTTAGCCACTCTTGTGGGAAAAATAAGGCCTTTGCCTCCCAGGATGTCAACTACGGGATGATCCCTGTTGGCTAAGAGTCTACCCTTTCTATTTCTGGTCCAGACTTTGGTATCTAGGGCTGGTCACAAACAAAGATCTTTATCTTCTCCCCCTACCCTTCAGTTTAAATCCCCAGTTTAAAGTGAAATGTCAATGTTTCTGGTGAACTAGAAGCTTTGTTGACGTTGGCAGCTGCTCAATGAGACCGAGCCTTCTTTCGCTGGGTTCACCCAGCTGCTTTGCTGCAGGGCACAGGGTCCCTCTGTTGTGAGGATTTCTGGCCAAAGGCAAACTCTCCCTTGAGGACTTTGCTTTGAGGTCAGTGAAACATTATCAGGGACAGGCTATTCCTAAAGCAATAGTCGAGGCTCAACAAGTCTTGTAGCAATAAGAAAAGCTTTGTTCCATGGAAAAACTATCTCACCAGCTTCACTGGGCTACTACACTGCATGTCCTTATGGGAGTCTTGAAATTGGAGAGGAGGGCAGAGCTCATGGAGAAGCATGTCATGCTGGTCCTGAGGAGCTGAGTGAACTCTCTGGAGCCAGTTCTGTTTCACAGCTTTAACTGTGAAGGAAAAAATCAGTTGATATGAAAGGGATGCTTCATAGCCTGAAAGCTAATGAGTTATTTGATCCACTACCCTGAAGTCCTGTGTTAAATACAGGTGCAGAGAATCCTCCCCGTTAGCTCCCCTAGATCGTGGTTTTCTTTGAGGATGAGAAGTCCCCAGATAGCACAGAGGTTCTGCGTGTCCCTATCGCCTTTCGCTCCCCCATCCTGGCACCGTTGACATAATCACTGCAGAAAGGCCGTATAAAGAAGCGACGGGGCCTCCCTGGCTGCTGGCCAGCCCACACCCCTGCAAAACCGCAGAGACGGCAATAAAACCAGCTTTACACTCATGCCCCAGCCGCCTTGGGCCCTGCTCTAGCCCAGCCGATGCTCTGACATGGTTTGTTTGTGGATATTAAATTTATAAAATTGGATGCAATGCCTTCTCCCTAATTGCCCTTTCATGAGGGGTGGAGGCAAGGAGCTCTCTGCTGTCATTGTGTAGCTGGACTTGTGTGTAGCTGGCCTCTCTGCAGTACACCAAACTGTATTTTCCAACAGCTGGCCAGAGGATTGAAAATCTTCTGGTATTTGAGGAAATTGCATGTTATGTTTTTACCTATATTTTAATATATTTATATATTTTTTATATACAGTTATATATCTTTATTAAAAAATACATAGGCATCAAGACTGCCAATCCCCTTTCATAAACTCACCAGCCTCTCATATAAAGATATGAAGTTTGTGACCCCTCCACTTCCTACTGGAAAGATTAACCCCTTCTCTGATGGCAAGAAACTTTCTTGCTTCTGTTTCCAGCCTGAACTCATTCATGGTCACTTTGGACTTGCCCAAAGGTCTCTGCTAATGAGCCACTCAAGGGGATGCTGCCAGTGGTCCTGCTGGTGGGCTCTGTGCTGCATTGAGATAACTGGTCCTGGGAGAGCTGTAGGAATTCAATGTTGGGTTTTTCTTCCAAAAGAAAATCTGAGAGTGCCCCAAAAGTGCACCTAAAGGCAGAACTGTAGCCTTCAACAGCAGACCTGTGCTAGGGGGGGTGCCTTGTGGCCTCAGGCCAGTCCAGCAACTGATCTTCTCACTTCTAGTCTGGATATGGGATGATAATGCATAGGGCTCCCTGTCTTTTGCTAGGACTCTCTTTGTGGCTTCCAGGGAAGGACAGTGGCCTCCTCTCTTCTCCATGATCCACATTCGAAGGCACACACCCCTTCCTGCTGTCATGTTAATGGTAAGGAGATCTGGCTGTGTGACATGCCCTGTTCTTGCAGTCTTGGCTCTCTTGCAAAGCCTGGAGAAGCTAAAGAGTTTTAAAGGGTATTGAGACACTAAGTCATCTTCCAAAAAATAAAGAAGGTGGAATACTGGAAATGGCTGCAAAGTATTAAGTCCCCTTGTGCCAACCATGGTATCCAAACCCACTACCTGTTAGTCCCTGCCTTATGGCCTTGAACGCCTCTTTTAAAAGTACTGTCCCCACCATCTGCCACAGTTGCTGATTGATATTGTCCTATGAAAACACTTCTGCCAGGCTTTGGCTATTTGAAAAGCCAAAATTGCCAGGCATAGTGGAAACGTAGGGAATGAGGATTTGTGGAGGTGTGCTCAGTTTTGGTTTGGGTTTGTTTTCTGGCAACGGTCCAGCTCGATCCAAATTGTGCTGCTGTGCTAAAAACTTAGCAGGTATCTTTGTAGGTAGCCTTTGTACCATCAGTGCAGGCTTTTGGATCATGCATGTTTTAATTGCCCTGCATAGGACATGGAGCATCAATCACAGAATCATTAAGGTTGGAAAAGACCTTTAAGATCAGCAAGTCCAACCATCAACCCAACACCACCATGCCCCCTAAACCATGTCCTGAAGCGCCACATCTACACGTTTTTTGAATAGTTCCAGTGATGGTGACTCCACCACCTCCCTGGGCAGCCTGTTCCAATGCTTGACCACTCTCTCAGTAAAGAAATTTTTCCTAACATCCAGTCTAAACCTCCCCTGGCACAACTTGAGGCCATTTCCTCTCGTTCAATGTTGCTGTTGATCTTGAAACGATTACTCCTTTCTGTAGCACATCATAATTGCGTATTATGATATGGTACAGTCAGTCTGTGACACAGTTTTGTAAAGCACTTGGTGACCTCTGAAATGTTGGGGTTGTGAAGTAGCTGCCCATGGTTATAGGGAGGCTGGAAGAGATGATCCATGCTACCCTTTCTAGTCTGAGGGCCATAGTAAGGCTTTAATGACTGTATTTCATCTTCACAATGCTCAGTTCCCTTTGGTTACTGCCATGGTGTGTATCGGAGATATCTACCATCTAATGAACTTCTTCAGCTTTTCCCGATGGCTCTTCATAGGATTAGCCACCCTCGGGCTCATTGTCCATCGCCACCGTCACCCGGAGCTGCACAGCCCGTTCAAGGTAATGCATGACCTGTATCTAACAGCCAGGAATGCACAGGCTTGTAATTTCTCTCTCTCATTTGCTACGCATTACAAGGCCATGGTTGCCTTTAGGCTCTAAGCGGGTCTCCATCCCTATCGGTCAGTTAAGGCATGTAGGAAGCTCCTGGGGTTGGTTGATGTGCGGTAGCAGCTGGATGTGGCAAATCCTATAAAACTGGTTTCACATGGTGTCATCAGTGGCAGCTGTAAGACGGCAGCCTGCTCCAGGGGACAGAATTCCGGGCTGGGAACCGGGAGGTGTGAAGGTGGCAGTTCCCACACCCACACTCATCTCTGGTGGGCTGCAAGGAGGGACCCTTGCCTGGATGTTATTTCTGTGGTAGGCAGGTCTCAGCTCTAGCTGAGAAGCAGAAGGGTGCCAGGCTTGGGAGGAAAGAGCATGGCTGGAGGGATCCTGGGAGCAAACCTGCCTTAAGGGGAATCACCTGCTGGCACAAAAATATTGTATAGTGTAAAGCAGCTCATGTGCAACTATTGCTGCTGCAGGCTCTGAGGACGCGCGCAGCGTGTGCACGCGTACCACGAAGTGTTTTTTTCCGCAGTCAGCTAACAGCAGCTAATGGCCAGTGCAGTGTGTGGGCCTGGAGAGAAGGACCTTCCTTCTCACTCCAGGCAGAGAGAGGAGAGCGGCTTTGTGAGCCTCTAGCTGTGCATGACCTTTGTGGGCTGCCCGTTGTACCAAGAGCCCAGGCGTCTGGTGGGGTTTGAGGAGCTGCCTGACACGTGCCACGTCCAGACTTCTCCCATGCTGGTTTCCAACCAGTGCATGGAACTGGTTGCATCCATTCTTTCCCTAGTTGCCGGGGGGTTTTTTTTCTGGTGGGACAAGTTTGGAGGAGGGTGCAGGATCTACTGCCCAGGCACTGCCCTCCTGTGCGCCTGCAAAGCTCTAGCACATTCAGACCGGTGGCCATAAGCATAAGGCGAGAGGCATCAAAAGTGGACAAAGGGAAGGAGGGAAGCAAGGAAATTCAATTCCACCTGCTCAAGGGGAAGTTGGAGGATGCCTCGTCCTCTCTTGTTTTTCCCTAGCCTCCAGCTGGGGTCCTCCAGTGGCCCTTCTCACGCTGCTGGGTGCTGGGGAGCAGTCGGTCCCCCCGTGTCAGCAGGGGAAGCTGGAGTTGGTGCTGGAGCAGCTTTCTTGCACTCAGGGCACCTTTCCCACTGCCGGAGAACGTGCAGAAGGTGTTTGGCTGGGGTGGTGCTTGAGGCGTGCACAGTCTGTTGCTGCCTCTGGTCGTGCCTGCACGGTGCTTCCAGCCGTGTCCTGGGGAGGAGAGGAGACCTCCGAGGCCACAGGCAGTGGGCAGCCCATTAGGAGAAGCTCAGGAGACAGAAACACTTCCCGTGGCTCCCAGGGCTCCTCCCCAAGCCATGCAAGGCCTGTTGTGTAGCTTGGGGTAATTTTTCTTCTTGGTCTTTGCTGGAGACAGCGTGTTTAGCAGAGACCTTGAAGCTTCCCAGTTTGTTGGCTGGCTGCACTCATGTGCTCACATAGAACCGGATTTTAAATAACTTTTGTCTTTTTCTTTTAGCTTTTTCAAGCTTCTGGGGGGAAGTTTGTTAGTGGATAGCACTGGTGATGTTTGCAGCTGCTGAGATTTTGCCCCATTTTGGTTTAGGTGTAAAGATTTAGGCTTTTAAAGGTTCCTAAGGGCAGATTAAGTGAGGGAGGGAAATGCTGGTCTTTTGGTCAGTTTGGTTGAGATTTTTCTCCCCTCTCCCTAGTTTTTATAACCACTTCAAACCCGAAGCCCATCTTAACTGCAAGAGGGAAGGGCTGCGTGCAGGTGGTGTGGGCATGTGCTGCGCTCTAGTGGCCAGAGAGAGGTCGTCTTCTGCCACTAGCTTGCGGAGAACAAATCATGAAATGCATGTGATTGTGCTGGTACTTCTTCTACACTATAGTATTTTAAGTTAAAAATGGTAAGACAACACCAGTAAGAGGAGGAAGCAGTCCTCTCTCACACCTCTCAAGCAGATGTGCGGCATAGTGCGGGCACACCGGAGAGGCTGGGGATGCTCCAGCTGGAAAGACAGCAAGAGCACATTAAGTATGGTGGCTGGATGGCTGACATTGCTAGAGCAACGGATCTCTTCCAGCTCAGCATGGTAAGGGTCCAAAATAGAATCTCTGTTACCGGAAAAGAGATTGTCACCCTAGGTGAGACCAGCAGCTCCTTCATTCTATCAGTTATGGTGAGGAGTAACTTGGCTGAGGTTGGATCCAAAGACTGAGGGAATGTTTCACAGTTTTATTACTTATTGCAATCTTCTGATTTAGTCTCCAAATAACCCAGATGAATTGGCTTACCCAGCAGGGTAACGCTGAAGTGCTGGCTGCTGCTTCGGTCTTTCATCAGAGTGTCGTTGAAACTCATGTTCTTGATGGAGGTGCAGTGGAGATAGGGAGTATGGTCTATCCTTTTTTTGGCCACTATAATTCTCCGGCCAGCTGGAGGCAGGTTAAAATGAGTCAGGAGTGTTACAACCAAAGAACGGTTTTATTCAAAGAGCTACTTCTATCCTTGGCTTCAGACTTTCCACGAGTGGTTGCCGCAGGTGGCAAGTAGGTACGTGTGCACGTGCGTGCACAGGAGCAGTACGTTCAGAGAGCAGTGGGGTATAGGTGACTTGTCCCCCCACTTGGATTCCAGTTGCAAGTGAGGTGAGGCTTATATTGGGAAGGAGGTATGCACCTCACAGGGCACACTGGGCTTTGAGGGTGGTACGAGTCAATTTTTGTTCTATGCATCCTACTTGTCCACAACTGATTGTACAGACCCAGTGTGCGGGACAGCTATATGATTTTTCTCATCTTCTTTAAGATGGAAAAGTGAATACCATGTGTGTTGGCATGTATGGAGGCTGATTTGCTACAGCCATCACTTTTGCTTGAGAACCATCTCTGCTCTTCTCTGCAGGTTCCCCTGTTTGTTCCTGTCTCTTTTACCATCATCTGCCTCTTCGCTGTGGCAATGTCTTTCTACTCAGACCCTGTGAACATTAGCATTGGATGCACCATGGTTTTAAGTGGTTTTCCAGTCTACTACCTTATAATCCACAGGCAAATGTTGAATCGTTGCCGTAGCCTGTTTTGTAAGTACGCATTTGAATTTCAGTCTTCTGGACCTAAACACACACAGGGGTGGGAATGCTGGTTTGTTCCCAGGGCTCATCTCTAACCCAGATTGCTCCATGACCAACAGACCTCATGAAACCTAAATCATGACCCCTGCCACCCCTTCAATGGCTTTCCCAAGATGCAGCCTCTGCCGCCGAAGAGACGAGGGGTAGGCTGTGCTGCGGCTGGCGGGCAGCCGTGCGCCCCGTGTGTCTGCCTGGCGCGTGAAGACGCCGATTAAACCAGCCTGATGCTTTGTTTTAAAGTTCTGAGTTCTACCAGTGAGGGGAACAGAGAGGCTCGCTTTTGCACCCCAGCCCTGGTTGCTACTAAACTTTATTGTATCTTTGGGATCACCACCTCTCAGTCAAATTTGGCTGACAACGAGCAACAAGATCAAGAGTTAGGATGGAGAGGGTCTGGCAGGCAGACACTGTATCCCTGCGCACAGACGTACGTGCCGAGAGGCTGGGGAGAGGACTGGTAGGAGAAAGACGGTGCTGCCGTCTTCTGGTGAGGAGACCGGGATGGTTTTGGGCACAGATGTGGGTGCATAAATGGCATACATATCCACTCCATGCAAGCTCTAGCATAGATTTCTTTTGGGGGTAACCCTGGTGGCACAATGATTTACTCGGAAACAAGAGCCCAGTTTGGAGTTTAATTTATAATTTCAGTTATGAATCTTGTTTTATTTTGATTTGATGTTGGGCTGAGGTGTACCAGTAACCAGTGAATAGAAGAAAACATGCAGGCAGAAAGGAAACGGATACAGTGATCTGCTAACATCTCCAGCCGCCAGTGATGATGCTCTGATTTTCATCCATATCTCAAGATTTCTTCTGGACTAAATTTTCTTCCTTTCTTCCCCCTTTCAGATTATCTTACACACAAACTACAGTTACTGCTGGAAGTAGTCCAACAAGAAATCAAGACTTATTGAGAAAACCACCAGAACTCACAGGAGAAGATAAAATCTACTTACTCTGTTTCTGATACCTCTGATCCTACCAAAAGCATGCCATGCTCTTATTCTTTGAATCACTGGAAATGAAGATGAGCCTGAACTAAAACCTTGCTGCAAGTGCTCCTAAGCTTGCCGACCAGGATGAGGGCGTCACATCTGTTTCTGCCCTTTTCTTTTTTAGCAGAACAACCTAGTCCTCTGAAATGAGCTTGCTTTGCCTGCAGTGTCTTTGAAACCAAGATCCTAATTTTGCAGCTTAGCCCAGTCTTCAGTGAAACAGAGTGTGTGTATGTATATACACATATCTCTATACATACACACACACTATTTTTTAATTTCCTAACTTGTCAAGTAGAGGAAGGGAGCATGTTGCAGAACTTAAGAGTCCAATACATGGAAGCCAAATGCAGGTTTCAAACTGAAGCGTTGTAGTAGCCATGCTGTGGACAAGCATTATGAAGGGAAATGGGTGGGGAGAACAAATTAGAGATACGGTAGACAAGTTGGAAAGGAGGAGGCAGGGGAATAAAACTTCATTCATCAGAAGGTGCAGATTCAGGTTAATGAGAAGATATTTGAAAACCCTTTGAAATTCAACTATTAACAAAGTAAGGTCAGAATGTTTTGCTTTGATTGTTGTATAAGCAGAATAAGTTTATTTTGCTTTGAAATAATTTTTCCGGTTTGAATTTTATTTTTCTGAAATTACATTTCAGAATGTGCAAGCACATTAAAAAAATCAGCTAAATATCGACAAGTATATAGCAAAATGGATCCTGATCCCTCCCCCAGCTCCCCAGCCCCACTCCTCATCCAGTACTACCAAGGAAGTTGAAAATTCAGATTTTGGCCCAACTCCAGTGAAATACAATTTCTCCTTTAGTTAGACAAGACCACTGATGAGACTTGGGCAGATTCCTGAATAAGTGCGTCTTTTGGTGCTCTAAGAATCATAGAATCATAGAAAGAAGACATGAAAGGCTTCATGTCAGCTCTTTAACTTTAAATCTGCGGTCCAATATCTTGCTGAATTGATACGTAAATGCTCATTTGAACTATTGACAAAAGAAATGTTTCTGTTATTGGACTACTTTGGTTTACATTATTAATGTGGCAACGTTATGTCCAGATAAAACAGCAATTGGCTATTTCCAATCACTTAGTTGTTAATCTTCTCCTAAAAGATGGGAAGTGGTATGCTGAGACTCCTCTGATGACGGCTGGAGAGAGGGACAGCAGAACGTGGAGCATTTTTAATCTTTTGTATCAAGCATTTATGTACTTAGAGTAAAACCCAAGTACCATTTGCAAACGCTGTGTAATCTACTGAAACTTGTAAAATTCGCTATCAAGATTTGAAAATAAATAAGTTGGGTTTTTTTCCAAAGCAATTGAGAATTAATATTCTTGTTACGGCTGCTTCCCGTTCCTGTGCTGAATTGAGCTGGGAGAGCAGCAGCGTGGTTGCAGGGCTCGTTTCCCCCCTTCCTGCAGTTTAATTCACAAGCCGCTGGATATTGTCCAAGAGGAACTCCAGTCTTACTGGGAAAACCATCACAAGCTACGAGGAGAAGGTACCGGCTTTAAATGACAGCGTGTGAAGCGAGGTCTGGAAATGTTTCCAGGCTCCCGGGCAGGGGTCGGTCCCCGCTCATGCTGGGCTTTGCTGAAGCGGAACCCCTCGTCACACCTTCCCGCAGCCCCCCGCAGCCAGTCCCCGGTGTGGGAACCAAGGTGTGGAAGACCTCGCAGATCTAGGTGAGCCCCGTCACCCCAATGTAGCCCGAGTCCACCCCCGCAGGTACTGGTTTGGGGGATTTTTCACATCGTGAGGTAGGAGCCTGCGGCGCTGCCTGCCTGGTGCTGTGCTGCAGGAGCCCTGTGGGCACGGTGTGCCTGCGCCGTGGCATCAGCACTCGTGTCACACCTTGGAGCGGTCTGAAGTCGCAGGAGAGCTGCTGTGTGTCTGCAGACAGATACACAGAAAGGGTGAAGCCTGACTTTTTTTGGCTGTTTCTGCTGACGAGAAAAAGGGAACAAGGATTGAAATTCCTGGGGGAAAAGTAAGTAATCCTACCTGCTGGACCTTGGTTTCTTGCTACATGATAAATCATTTGACATCTGCAGGGAAATCACACTTGGGTGCCTCTGCTGATTGTGCAGGAAAATGATCTTGCAGGATGTCTGCTCAAAGACCTGTCAAATACTGGAAATGCAGACGGATACAGTAGCATGGTTACGTCGACACTAGAAATCAGAGGTTCAACAGCTCCAAAGACGACATTGCAATTAAAAGTGATAAAAATAAAAAAAATATGATGTTCAGAAGGTACCCGTTTACAGTGAGCTCAAGTTTCCCGTTTGTGGTGCGTTGTTTGTTTTTAGGGAGCACAGTATGCTGCTCCCAGCCAAGCTATGTAAACATTTTCTACCAAGCCAGAATGTTTTTCCTAGAGCTGGTATCTCATGCCTGCTGAAGCTCTTGGCTTCAGTTCAGCAGAGTATTTTACTAGGTAAGTCGCATATGCAAAAATGAACCTGAGGGACCTGATGCTATAAATCTCATCAGTCAAAGGGAAGCATAAAAGTGCAGCTGTGGAACGGACAGCCAGAGGTCAAAAGCCAGTCAGAAAAGGCTAGATGGGGAAGAAACAAACTTCATAATCACATGTGTGGGGTTTTTTTTTTTTTTTTAATACTGTGTCTATAAAATGCACTTAGAGTGCAGCTTTTCCAGAAAGTAAAACAGAGATTTATGTGTTTTGGCCATTACTGATCTGGTCTGACTAGATCATTAGGAAATAAAAAAGTTCCGGGCAATTCAGCTGAACGTAATTTGTGTAACAAAAAAACAATAATAAAAAAAAGTTTGCATCTGAACAAGTTTAGGTAGTTAGTACTACTTGACCTGTCGTTAAGCTTTATTCTTCAGAGCTCTGCTGGGAAATGCTGTCAGCCTTTTAGATTGAAAGGCTGGAGGTCAGGTTGGAAAGCTCCTAACCCTTCTCTGATTTCCGCAGGGGAAAAAAGAGGCTCCGGCTTCAAGGTAAAGGAACACAGACACTCGGGATAGCGCGGAGCTCTGCACGGGCTGACTGAGCTCGCCCCACGGGGCTCCGCGCCCGGTTCGCACTGGTTTGGGTGGCTCCGGGCGGCACGGCGTACTGCAACCCCACCCCCCCGAACAGTGGACTAACCGACACGGGGAGCGTGTTGAGAGACGCACCCGCTGTCGGCACCGAGATTCGGGGTTCGCTTTGCAAGGCGAGGCCACCTTTTGGCTCTCGGAGAATGATGTTCAGCAGAAGCTGCTCCCGGCGGGAATCTTGGAAGGAGAAGGTCCTGAATATGCGCGGCCGCCGGAAGGATGGGAGGAATCGGGGCAAGGTAAGTGCTGGTGCACAACCACGGGAACCAAGCGGCAAGGGACAAGCGACGCCGGTTCGCGGGGGTGTTGATTTTACCGAGACATCTGCCAAAAACCTCAGCTGTGCCTGGCCGCCCTGCTCGTGCCTGGCAGATGCGCGTGCGTATGGCGCAACAGCCCGAAGGAAACG